TAATTAATACTTGAAGAATCAGCCGTGCTGCCTTGGTGTATTTATCTGTGAATGATGGATGCTGTCCCTGAAGGGCCATTTTGCTAATGGAAGCTGTCCAACTCACCTGCAGGTCTTTTATTATTGGAGCAAATCAGCGAGATGTATCTTTGAAAAGAAAAAAGAATCCTTCAAACTCAGCCCTGTTATTGAACTGTGGAGTGCCATCAGCAGTATGTCTGTCATATAGGCCCCATTTCTGAGCACAGAATTCCCAACGCAAGCCTGCAGCAGTACATTTAAATCATCTTGGGAACTTTGGTGTGTGCTAAAAATGCCTTCTATGCTGTTTGCTGCTGTCCCCAGACCCAAACACTGGGAATAATTATCTTTTTTTGGCACACGCTCTGTGCTGAGATCAAGAGTCTGTAAAGCTGCGTTTCTTCTGTTTGTGTGATCAGAGAAAAGATCAAATGGAACAAATGCCGTCAAACATTTATTTTTCTTCTCCTTTGATGCTGTGCTCCCCTGCTGTGAACACTCCTAACCTGGCAGCATCTGGGAAAACTTTCCCCAACGAAAACGCCCTCAGTTTGTGTCAACCCTGAGCCCAATGGGTAGTTCTGTTCTGACAAAACCCAAAGCAACAGCGAGAGCTGTGTGGGAATCAGTACAGAGGGCTGGTTTGCTGAGCAAGTGATGAGCTGTTCGTGGCCTCACCATAATGCCAAAAACCATCACCGTGCCGAGTTGGTGATGCTCAGCTCTGACTTCTTCTAGGTTCAAATGAGTACCCAGGTGGCAGGGCACTGCTGAATCTGTCCCAGCCTGCCTGACTTGTATTTAGAGAATCACAGAATCACAGAATGGCCAGGGTTGGAAGGGACCTCAAGGATCATGAATCTCCAACCGGAGATTCATTTACATCTGGCTCTTACTTATATTACCTGAGTGCTCTTAATAAGCCTTCCTAATTAATGCTTTCTCAGTTGAAGCACCTTGTTCTCCTTGCTTAACAGATTTGTTTCTTTTGTCCCTGTGATGGCAAGAGTTCATTCTTATTTAGATCTGAAAAAGCTTAAAATTTGTCCGTGCAATTCAAAAGGCAAAATCAACATTGGTAAGGTTACTTGTGAATTTATAGTGACATCTGTGCACGGTGAATACACACCAGCCAGGTTTGTATTTCTGGACTAAAACCAACCCAGTAACAAAATGCAACAGCAATAACAAAGCTGTGTTTTTCACATGTTCCCTACCTAAAAACCCTAGGAGTCTTCTTCCCACGCCTCACTATACCCAAAGCTGAATGAAGCAGTGTCACTGGTTTACTGTTCCAAAAGCACAGATGTCAACAGCTCTTGCAAGCTGGGATAGTTAATTTCATTAAAGGTTGCAGAATAAAGGATAATCATCTCAGCCACTGCTTGCTAATAGTTTGGAACAATTTTCCAGATAGGAGTGTAGGAAAATATTGTTTTAAATGCTTTCTCTGCAGCTTTGAATGACAATGAGATTGAGAGACACTCTGAAATAGATGCATGACTTCAATCTCAAGCAGAAACTGGGGCAGAGGGAATGACTCAATTGGTTGTGGTGCAGTAGCAAATCCACATGGGGCTTTGGAAACGTTCATCCATGCATCAAGCATGGAGCTGATTATGACAGTCACAGAAATCCTGAGAGAAGCAAGGCAAAATAATCAACGCAACGAGCCAGTGGGAACTTTATCGTGAGGGGACTCAAAGGGTGACATTTGGAAAATAAAAGCAAGAGAATCAACCAAAAAGATCTTTGACATAAAAGCTCCTTCCTGCAGGTTTTATCTCTCCAGCCAGAAAAATCTAAGGCATATGTCTATTCCCTTAAGAACAGAACAACATGTCAAATGGAAGAGATAGAGAGAAGACCTTCCAAAACAATATTTAGTCATCATACAACCACGTGTATGAATGTAACAAAGAGAAAGAAATACATGTACCTTAAAAATAAATATGTAAAAGAAATCTAGCCAAACAGTGTAAAAAGGGAAGGGAAGGGAAGGGAAGGGAAGGGAAGGGAAGGGAAG